CAAGTAAATAGTAGCTTGACAGACAACAAGTTGGTGCCTTTATGCCGTGATCTCTAGATAACAAGCAATGGGGGAACATGGATGGGTAAAGAGGCTTATATATTTATCAGTAATAAACTAGAGGAGAGATGCCCTAAGTGATATGCCTTCAAGCATGTGCTAGATCTGTGTGTTGACAGTATCATTTTTCTAAGTGATGCGCGAGTCCATTCAGTGGTTTCCAGGTTTAAGTATCTTGATTACTAAGGGGCAGAGGGATGCAGAATCTGGCCGGTGGAAACAAGTGATTGATAGCTTCCTGGTAAGAGCCCTGCCTTTCTTTCCCCCCTGCACGACTCATTATTCCACAGCATTAATTCCAGCTTTGTGATTGCACTGAACCAGGGGCTCCAGTTCCCTTATCATCCCTGTGGGAAACATGATGGTTTATTTGTAGATGGTGATAATTGTTTTTATCGATCCCCCAATATGGGAGCTGCATCCACTGCTATGGCTGAAGGCCAGCTGGTCCATAGTGCCGTGCGCGTGAGTGACAGGTTACAACATCATATGTGTCCCAGAAGAGACTTAAGAATTTGTAAGGCAATTGATGCCTCTCCCAGATCTCTGTGCGCTGAGTCGTGTGAACAAGTCCTCATAGGCCAGTACAGTGTTTCTTGTAGTTGTCATTATTGAACCTTAAGAGGTCTACACAGGTACGATTCACACTCACTTAGACAGCCAGCATCAGCACAGGGGCCTGGAAGCGGCACCCCTATGTAAATGACCAGAGCTAGTCCCCACAAAGACCGGTGAGTTCCTCCAAGGCAGTGATGCTCAACCCACAGCAGATACTCTGCATATCACATATTTACATTATGATCCATAAGAGTAGCAAAATTATAATTATAAAGTAACAATGGAATAATTTGGTGGTCGGGGGTTACAATATGAGGAGCTGTATTAAAGGGTCACAGTATTAGTAAGGTTGAGAGACACTGTTCCAAGGCCTCAGATCCCCCAGGTTCTTGTTTTGGAACTGCCCCTGGCTTGACATAGCACCTGTATTTTTCCAGGTTGAACATTTTAGAGGAACATTAACTCAGTATTTAAGAAGGCCCCGTGAAAACCCTAGAATGTACTGTAGGTAGGAAACGCCATGACATTCCAAGTCTCAAACTACCAGAGATGTTAAGGGAAAATAATGTAACTGTCTAATTAAGCCCAGTTTTTAGGACAAGGCACAAGGGTGGTGGGACTTTCCCCCATGTAAATTAAACACAACACGTAATGTTGGGGGAAGCTTTGGGGCTAATTAGTGTGGGCTGTCTATCTGGAAACAAATCAGGTCAGGCCTAAAAGGAACCGAATGTCATAAATGTGGGTTTTTCTAAGTCTTTATTATTTGGTAAAGTGGGAAGATCTTTGGCCAATTACCAAACTTTAAAACTTCTGACCCCCTTTTCCTGGAGTACAGATAATAGTCATACCAGGGCACCTGCGTCCTGCTTCCCCTTCAGGGCTCACCTTTGAATGCTTATTGTCAAGATTTCAGAAATTACTGGGTTGGGCTAGAAGAGGGCAAGGAAGCTTTCATGCATTGCCAAGTTCCAGATACTGCACAGAGGACCCCCATTTATCCAGAGCTAGGCCAGCATCTGGGTTCCCCATTTATCCTGAGATACAGTGGAAGGGTCTCATCGAAAGAATGACAGACTGCTTCAATTAATATTTATTTTCATGGAAATTAATGCTTTCTCACACTGCCCTGACCCCACGATACTCTTTCTTGTATCTTCTGTGAGCAGGTCTTGTGAAGACAGAGACAAAGAGAACCTCTTCTAAAAAAGCCTTGGTCATGGTCTCCAGTCTCACCACGAAGTAAAACGTTTTTTGTTCCTCTTCCCACGTCCACCACAGATATTGCCCACAGATACTGCTCTCATGCCCGTGGTGCCAGTGAGCCCAGCTGATCATGTGATTCATGTGCTCGCTTACTGCACCGTCAACACACTTGCAACATAGTGCAGAGCTCACTGGTTGAGGCTGGAAAATGATAACATACTCTGTGGCAACTCAGAATCTTTGATTTTATAATTGGAAGTAAGTTCAGATATGAGCAAATTCAGTTACCTCACTTAGAAACAAGGACCCTGACTCAAAGAGTCCTGTTTCAGTCAGCAGTCAAGGTGAATTTTGAGACCAGGTATGTTTTTATATCAGCCTCCACTCCACTTTGTTCTGACTTTAATGCCCAGACTTTGGGTGTGTTGTATTGGATGGTGACCAACTGTGTTAAAGTGAGTCCCTCTGCTTATCAGATCATAACAGATCAGCACAGACAGTAAGATCTTTACCACCCACAAAATAAGAACAGTTGCTGTGTTTGGGTCTAACAAATATAAGCATTCAAACAAATGCAGCCAATTGTAACAAGTGCTGTGATTTTAGTGATCTCTGTGCCTGGTTGAGTTACTCCTGAAGAAATATAGGAAGGATATAAAATAGGTTTAAAATATTTGGAAGAATCGAGACAAAAAGCAAGCATATAATCCAGTAAGAACAATGGTCATACAACTTCAGTACACCTACAGAGTGTCCATATAAAAATATTTTGGAAACATTTACGTTATAACACTCACGTCTTCTGATCCTGACTTCAAACAAACGGAATGCTTCCTCAATGCTCCTGAGACCCTAGAATACAACATACCCTGTGGCTAAACCGTGTAGTAAGAATGTTGTTCTATAGCTTGTCCTCTGTGCCACCCCTTCCTGCTCATGGAGCGCACAGCCTATACTCCTATATCACTGCTAGTTTATCCCACAGAACAGTACAGACAACTCAGTGTGGCTCAGTCTCTGGAATACATGGCCCTCAGTGTCCACAGGTTCTGGATTTCTGGATTCTATCAGCAGTAGATCCTAATACTTTTTTCACTGTGTGTGTGGAATTATAAGGGTACAAACCATTAGCAGACTGATTCCTCTTCATTGTTCCTAAACAATACGGTATTCCAACAACATAGTGACTATACTAGTTATAATTAACCTAGAGGAGACCAGAGTCTGAGCACCTGAACATTTGGATACGTAGGGGGATGGTGCGGAAGAATTATCTGTATTCTGTCAATCATGTATTTTAATAAAACACTGATTGGCCAGGCAGGAAGTATGGGTGGGAAAACCAAACAGGAAGTAGGGGTGGAGCAAAGAGAACGGGAGTATTCTGGGAAGCAGGGAGCTCCCTTCGCCATTCCTGCCCAGACCACAGAGAAGCAACATGTGAGCTGACAGCTGAAAAGGTACCAAATCATATGGCTAACATAGATGAGAATAATGGGTTAATATTAGCTATAAGAGTTAACAAGAAACCTGAGCTAATGGGCCAATAAGCTTATAACCTAATGTAGACTTTGTATGATTTTCTTTGGGACCTGCCGACTGTGTGGTACTGGGCGGGATAGAAACCCCAACAAGCCGGCCCTCAGGTTACAGGGGGATCCTGGGTTCAGTCTCCCCCAGACACAGAGGACCAACTGTAGTCCCCATGGGGAAAATGTGCACCAGGAGATGCATTTGCTGTGAGTTCATGTAATTCCTGAAATGTTGGATAGTTCTGGGTTGAAAGGAGTCAGAAAGGAGGAGAGGTTCTAATTCAGGCCCATTAGTGGCATCGTGGTAAGGCCTTAGATCCATAGTCCTGGGTACTGGGCATAGACAGACACTGACCTCTGGCTGGAGGCTGCACCTAGAATGTCGATGGGTTTGTGTTAGTTGGCTGATGAACTGACTGACATCCCACCAGTCCTGAGTCCAGAGGGAAGTGCTGCCGCACAGCTGCCAGATAACTTGGGGCAAGCCAATTGCCTCTGCAGGAAGAGATGTCAGGACAGAGATAATGGAGCCTTTGGAATGAATTAGCTCAGCTTGGCTGAGGACGGATACAGAGATCCATCCTGAGCCACTTGCCTTCGGCAGACCCCTGCAGTGAGCTCTGTCTCTGATTAAATCATCCCCAGACCTGGTGCTGCACTCTGCAGCCCTCCCCCAACAAACTAGGCTTGGCTCACTTCCGTGTTTGGGTGTACCTGTGCTGTTTGGTCTTCCTAAAGTATTTTCCCTTCAATGGTTCACACTGCCTCGTCCTCTCTCACCACCCTCATGCTTCTCCCCGCAGCCCCTAAGTCATGTTACCCTTATCACAGAAGCAATCCCTGAGAAACTTTATAGAGTAACTGGGATGTAAATCTAATCTTCCAATCAGTGTAAAGATGGAAACACTGGGCATAACTTCTGTATTTATAGCATCTATTAGAGTAATTGGCGCATTAAAAGTGTCCCGTAAACTGGGTCCAAGAGGCCAGAGCCAGGTCTTAGGAAGAAGCTTGTCTCCTAATGCCTGCAAATCTGCTTAGGAAAACATTTGGACTAAGACACTTTCATAGCCCAGGTTGACCTACACTGTATCTACTTTACCTGTAGAAGCTGAGGTTGGAGATCAGCACACATCCACATATGTACGCAATCACATGCTCATACACCCACATCCCCATCCGTACTCACACCCACACAAACACAACCTTAAAATATGTAATAGGAGCTAAGGAGATGTGGAGAAAGTGCTACACCCAGGTAAACAAAACACCGTTGTCATTCAGTACTCATCAGTGCTTCAAGCAACTTACAGCAAACCCATCCTCTGATATACACCCCTAATTTGTGTCTTCTGGAAAGACAAATTATTTTTTACCCAAAGGCAACAGGATTATTTGACTTGGATATTTGTCATATGGCTTCTCTTCCACCCAGCACAGCTTTGAGGCTTAAGGTAGAAAGAGTTAAGTGTGCCCATAAATTATTCAGAGCTAATTCAAAATAAGTGTGTATCGTAGACAGATTGTCAGGTTTCTCAATGCTCCCCCGATAACGGGTGCTGTTTTCCCGATAAGGTATGACTTGTTTCTTACTGCACTTCCTTGTTGCCCTGCATTTCACTCTCCCTGTCTCTGTTCCTCCAGGGTCCAGTCTGGCTCCTATCTCAGCACGGGCTGGTTTACCTTTATCCTGGCCATGGACGCCTGTTACAGCATCCACGTCTACGGGATGATAAATGACTCCTACTGCAAGTAAGATCACGGGAAATTATTTCTATGCAACTCCAATTCTGATATCTTGTCAGAATATCACAATTCATTTTAATGCCACGAATCTGAGAAATCAGATGACGATTACTTCCGCATGTTCTTTGCCAACATGCCATGTTCTTGTCAGCACGTCATGTTCTGACTTTTAAGAGTGATAGAAAGAAAACAGTCCCTACTGCAGTCTAATGTCACATGTCAGAAGGGACACGTTCCCCTTAATCAGTCGCATTTCTGGGACTCCGGGGCTTGAAAATCTAGAGCGAGTTCAGTGGTGATTTAATTTGCGAGATCAAGGTTGCCCCGGCTCTTCCCTCTGAGGGCTTGATGGACAGCTGTCAGCCAATGGCTCTGTTTGCTCACGGAGGAGAAAATGCCCTGATGCCTCAGAGGAACGTTCAGCTTGACAAGAGTTCCTGAGAATTTTATTTCACTAATGTGTGACTAATCTGCCAGACTCTTAGTTTAAATGAGTGTGTGGTTGCTGGCAGGATCACGTCTAATCAGATTGCCAGACTCATGCTTCCTCTTGGTGGCGGAATACGGTTCCTCTACCGATCATTCGCATGATATGAGGCAGAGAGCATTTAATCATATTGTTAACATGTAACCCAGGTTAGTCTTCATGATTAGACATCTGCATTCTAACAGCTATGTCTAAAAACCACAGAGGAACCCCAAACTTCACAGTGAGGTTCCAGAGCACTGGGCTTTGTAAGGTTTGTGTCATCTCATCCCTTCCCCTCCTCTGAGTGCAGGCCGTGTGTTTGAATGTAATTAGTGTGATGTGTAGATTGTATTTGATCTATTAGGGCGCTAAGAACCAGTCCTTCTTCCTAAAAGCTTTCATCTGCAATAGCTTTTAACCGCGCCCGTGGAGGAGGCTGTGTAAGTAGATGCATTTACTGAGCACACCATGGATTCTTGTAAACGCCTGCCTCATCCTTGGCGCTCTTCCCTCTCCTGTCTTGTTTCTTTTCCAGGACAGAAGGGTATAGGAAAGTCCCCTATCATTACTACGAGCCGGGAAAAGACGAGTGTAATGAGTATCTTCTCCACGAGCACGCCCCCCACGGGGGACACCGGTTCATCACCGAGAAGAGAGTGTTTGCCAAGTGGGCCGAGAAGCACAGAATAATCTTTACGCACCCAAACTGGACCGTGTCCTGATGCTGTGTCCCCTGATCATGGCACTGCAGCTCTGAAGATGTTGTTCATGACCGTCACGGTCCTGACCGCTCTCTGGTGGGGATGGCGACTCCGCGTTCTGTGGGAGGGGCTCCTGTTCATTCTGTTCTCTCTGGTGGTTCAGCCCTACATACTGCACTTTATGACTTACCTATCGAAGGCTAGTGGCATAGCAGCTGTGACTACAGAAAACAGGAAGATTGTCTTTCAAGCTAGAATTCTGTGACAGAAGCATCCGGAAGAGATGGATGTGGCCTTGTCAGGCAAGGTCACCGAGTGTGTGGGCAGCTCCACCATCTTGGAAAAATGGTTGCCTACCAAACACTGTCCCAAGTAACTCTATCAGGGTATAGATATCTTGCCACAGTTACTGGTTAGCCTGAGAGAGAGGGTAGGCGTCTCTCTTTGATGCTGTCTTCCTTCCATATGTCTTGCAGCTAAAGCCTCAGGCCACCTACCTGATTAAATGTAGCAATGAAGGTGTTGTGTAATTCCATCAGGATTACCGGACTATCTCAGACACTTGACTTAAAAGGTATCAAGTAGCAGGTATTGACAAACTTTCACCTGTCGGCTGTGCTCTTCCTACTCAAAACGGCATAACTAAACATATTAGACCGATCACCTACATTAATGTTTAGTTATTAGCGTGTTAGCGGCACAGCTGCAGCGCTGCAGAAACACATACTGTGAAAGCGTTTCTGAAACATAACCAAAGGGTTTCCTCGCTCTGCTTCCACACCCAGTTCTGCACAACGATGCACTTTGTGACATCGTGAGACAGGGAGAGCAGACCATATTTTTGCATTAATTTGTATCCTACCATATCCATAATATATATTTTTAAATTCAAATTTCTATTTTATAAGCCCAAGGCACATCTCTCCATATGCATTATCAATGCCAAGTGCCAAATGTTAGACATGAAAGGTTCTTTTATATCATTAAATCCAACTGGAGCTTTTGCCTTCATGAGGCTGGTCGTCCCCTCGTGTGTCAGGTGTTCTGCCATGACAGTAAAATGGTGATGAGCAATTCCCAGAGTGCTTTGTCAGCTGCAGTCCCGTCACATATGCTCTGCCATGTGACACCCGTGACCACCTCGCCGGGCTGTGGCCTGCACATTCTGCCATCTGCAGGAGTTGATCCACATTGTGTCATCTGGGTCCGTGCATCCCAGGTTGCTCCACTGTAGAATAGCATTTCTGTAAATGAGTAAATGATTGAGTTCTCTACCAAATATAGCGTAGCGTACCATGTTAAGGAAAAGGACCACAGGGATGATTGTGTCCTAGATCAGTAGCCCTATAAGCTTAGATGTTTTTGATTTCTTTTTGTCAGTGACTTTGTTCAGGCAGTGGGTAAATGGGGGCTCAGGAACAACGGAAGCAGAAAAGTGGTTTCCCGTCCCAGGCCTGACACAGCTTCACTCTCCATACACTCGGTGCTCCTTAAGTATCAGAGGTTGACCTTCTCAGACTGTACTAAGCATCCATGAATATCTTGGCACAATGATTCACAAGCCAAAAACCTGGCTAAACTTAATGTTTTAGAAGCTGGAAATAAGAATCCACCTCATCTGCAGAATTGTGGCAGATCTTTCCTAGGACTAAGGGTCGTATTCAGTCACTAAGGTCCTGCCCCCTTCTGCCATTTTGATATCCCGCACCCACACCCGTAAGTGTTCCCCAGCCCCACCTTCACTGCTGGAGAGAGACTGCTTCTTCTTTTGTTGTTTGCTTATGTGATTTTTTTGCAGTTCTGTGAATGTTAGTTTTTTAGAGTGGATTGAAATGCCTACTTACAGGAAAATAAATAATACCCATGGTAAAATTCTAATGGAAGCTGTTGATTTTTCTCTCTGTTGTGATACAAAAGTTCTGCCTTCACATAAAACAAACCCTCAGTGAATCAGAATGCTTCCAGGGATGGCGTAGCTGATTCGTGTCTCTGTCTATTAGTGGAGGCCAACTCTGTTTTGGGTGCTCACTGATGAGAAACTCAAGAACTCGTTCTCCTTCTTCCTATAGCTTTTTCTCAAGGGGCCTTACGCCACATCCTCCCTTCCTCACATTATGTGTGGAAAAGGCAGGCACTATCTAAATGTCAGTCAGCTATGGGATGGTAGAGTGGGAAGTGACTCCCCTTCCTCTCCCCTCCTTCCCTCATTCTCTCTTCTCCTCCCCCTCTGCTCCTCCTTCCTTTCCTCTCTTCTTGTTTTGTCTCTTGAGAAAACAAAAAGCATTTTGTGGCAACCCAGTTGAATTCCTTTGCAATCAGGGCTTTGACTGACTCAGGATTTGCTTTTTCTCTGTAGTAATAATTTTCTCTGCTTCTATTTCCTGTTCCTTTCTCCCAGCCTTCGTTCTGGTAGTAATGCAAAGTCTAATTTCTCCCGTGTGAAGAAGAAGTTTTCCATCTTGGACTTGTTGAGAGAGGCGAAGGGCGATTGAGGGAGAGACTCTGTCATGCTCAGTTCCAGTCAGCCCCACAGGTTCCGATCCACTGAGAGATTATCCCCATCCACACACAGGGGAAGCTAAATGAGCCCACTCAGCACTGGTGCACAGCTATCCTATGTATTGGTTGAAATTTGTGAAAAGAAAGAAATGTTTTGGCATCATCTAAGGCGCGAGGCAAATGGACGATAGAAAATGACCGTAGACTTCTGCAATTGCATGCATGTCTGCCATTCAAAACCACAGGCCAGGCCTGGAGAGCTGAGCTGACACATCGAAGCTCTCGCCGCTCTTCCAGAAGACCCAGTTTGGTTCCCAACAATTCCCTGCACTCACTTAGGCAGTCACAACTACCTCCAACTCTAGTTTCAGGTGATCCATTGACCTCCTCTGGCCTCTGTGGGTACCCACATGCATGAGATATATGCACACATACACGTATATGCATAAACATATAAACCTATCAGTAGCATGACTCCTAGTGACATATTACTGTATCTGTAGATCATTACCTTGTTCAGCCGTCACCAGGGAAGCAGCTTCTTCCTGCAGTGGATGGGATTAACAGGGTCCCACAACTAGACAGTGCAGGGAGTGAGACTTTGGAGCATCCAGTTCTAAGATATATTTTAAAATAAAGTCATAGAATATTACTTCTAATTCTTCGGAAATCTTGAAAAACCAAGGGGAAAGTTAAAGGGTTTTAACATCCTTTTGAAGTTAGCCTATCTATAAGTCATATTAATGTACATTTTTATGATAAAAATGATTTTGTATTCATGACAAAACTATCCAAGAAAAGGTAATGAGTAATTTGAGGGTGTGTTTTTATATATGAACATGGAGTCCATTTTTGCATGTAATATGTGAACACATATATGCATGCATAAATACGTATATGTGAAAGCATACATATGATTCTATATTCTTTTTTGATGTGTGACTCACAGAAGACCCTATTTCTGACTTCATTTGAAGTTTGTTGGGTTACATTCTGAATCCTGATAAGAAAAAAAAAACCTTAATATCCACAGTATATGTATCGATTGCTAAGGATGTAGAATGCCATTCCCGATGGCTGACCAGAGGAACAACCCATCTAGAACAAACACAATCAGGTGTACAGTTGTCACCAAGTAGACTCACAAGTATAGCCATTTGTATCCGCAGACTCTGCCATTCAAAGCTCAGCCCAAGTCATGTTGAAGAACCCTGCGCAGTCTCCATTTGGGCTAACATGAACCGTGGTCCTCTTGTTCATACAGGCAGGAGGCAGCGCTGGGTTTGTATGATTTCTGATCTGCAGTCATCACGCTGTGACTGGTGAGAAAAGGGTCATTGTGCAGGGAGACTGTTCTCCAAGGTTTTGGTGTAGACCAGCTGATTGGGGAACACGAGTGTGAACTGGGAACCTGCTGACCTCCAGTGGGGCATGCAACCCTCCTGGAAAGACTCACTCATGGCCTTCTTGGGAAAAAGACAACACTTTACTTCACCTGGTAGGGTTAATTGGAGGTTAACTGTGAGGTCAGTTTGATTTTGAGAAGCAAGACAATGTAAATGGACGACTGACATCTTTTCCTCACACAGTACTGAATGTGCCACCTCAAATGGGAGACTCAACCCATTGTCCAGTGGCAGCTGATGTGCCTTAGGGCGTATGAATTACAATTGCAAGAGAAGGGGGGACTTAACTGCATTTCTAACTGGTGGGAGTTCCTCCTTTGATTCCCCTTGTGAAGAGATCCTGTGACTACAGGAGCCAGTGATCAGCTTTCTGAGTACACTGGCAGCCGAGATGAAAGGAATCGCCTGGAAAAGCTGCCAGTCCCCACCCGCCCCGTGAGCCTACAGTCAAGGAACCAGATTTTTGGAAGTAAAGGCAGCTTAACCTTGACTGTAAAACAGTCTGCTGACAGTCCTGACACCCCGAATCTCGTCACCGGACTCTTTCCCCCACACACCTTCCACTGGGCTCTTTGAAACATGGAATCATTACTGGCAGAAATGCATATGTGTTTTAGCAAAGAACCCACCCAAGGAAACAAAGGCTCCACCAGAACGGATTCTACCAGGGATCGGGGGATCCCCGCCCTGAGCTGTACAGTTGTTTTGTACAACTGGGGGCAGACCCTCAGGGCTGGTCCATGTGCTACAGACTCCACCCGTGTTGCTAAGACCAAAGCTTTCTATTGTCACGAGATGCCGAGACTCATACAGAGAACACAGAAGTGCGTTTCTTACTTCACGTTTGTCACCGAGGAGGCCAAGCATTGGTATCGGAGGAGCCGCCTGTGATGGAGACTGCTTGCTAACCTGGAGCGCTGCTCATGGCTTAGACTCAGGGCAGAATGGACCTCATCCTCAAACCAGTTCAACTGTGTGAGTTGGTACATGGTTGAGGCCACATATCCCCCTGCAATGTATATAAACACCCCATGTGCCCCAGGATCCAATAAATATGCACAATTTGAGAGTCCACTTATATGGTACTGTTACACAGGGAGAATTTTGAAATTATGCATCAGACTCTATTTAAATGGTTCCCGTGGCTTGGAAATAGTGTTCTGTTTTGTTGTTGCTTTTGCTGACCATAGAGACACTACCAGAATAAAATTGCATGTAAATTGCAAAGGCATTGAAACAGAGCTGTCCTTGGGCATTGTAACAGCACAGAGAACCTCATTCCGTTGTTTTTAAGCCCTTTACTTTTTTTTCCTTTTCTTTTCAGAATAGGCACAAAATTGTTTTTGAGGTGGGAAAGTGCCTCTTTCTCTACACAGAGGCCTCTTCCTCTTCGTGCTTTAGAGACTCCAGAAAAGCAGAAGCCCGTCTCCGTGAAGGTGAAGAACGTTCAGTGAATAAATAGCCAAGTGCCACATCCTTGTATTTGCTGACATATTGAGCAGTTTCTTCTAAGAAACTTCAAAGGGATCGAAACCTGGGCATTGGTAGACCCTTCTACCCAGCCTGCTGCTGAGTGCTCATTGCTTGTGTTTCGCGTCACCGTCACTAGTGCTGAATGCATAGCAATTCTATTACACGGGGTATACTGATGCCTCGCTCATGTGTCCACGAGGGTCACATGGTCTTTGCTGCAGATGCTCATTCCCTTTGGAGATCTGCAATCATTTATCCACAGAGGGGACCAGATGCGCAGTGGCATGCTGGTAAGGGACTTTGTTTCCTGGAGTTATAGTGCTTTTTTATAGACATCTTAGGATGAAGCTTACAGTTTGGCAAAGAACAATTAGCAGGTTTTAGTTTTTTGGTTTTTTTTTTTAACGGCAGGAGGAATGGGGATGGGTTAACAAAGCTAATAGAAACAACGACTGGGGTATTCAATATGCTCTATGTCTAACGCAGAAGGACATCCAGGGTGCAATGGCACACATCAGAAGAGAAGGCTTTGCCAGCCTGTGGAATTTCTGGGGTTCCCCTGAACTGCATTTGTAACTTTTCCTACCACTGTGCTGATGAAATTCAGCCTCAGGAGGAAGGGTTTGGGGGCTCACAGAGGAGTACAGTCTATCCTGGCAGCCAAGGTCCAGAGGCAGCAAGAGCGACTCAATCCACGATGCTGAGTGGGAAGTAGAGAAGAGGCAGTCAGGCACAGCTGGCTTTCTTCTCCTCAGCCCCTGAAATGGTGCCACCACGTCCAGGGTGGATCTTCCTCCTAAGGACCGCTCTCTGGAAACACTTGCCATCATGCAGAGGTATGACTCATTAATACCTTTTGTGTTCCTTAAGCCAGTGCACAGCTGGCATTTGGAATGCGTGACCGCGCCACAGAATGCTAAGCTACAGCTCCTTTCTTGCTCTGCCAGGCTTGTTAACAGTCAATCCAGTGCACTAACTGCTTACACTGGATTGTTCCTTCCGCCCTCCGCACCCCTACCTTTGATTCCTCCTATCCTTCGTTACCCCTCATTTTCATTCTTCAAACTCTACATATATGCCACTGAGTATCATATTTGGTTTCTCCTTTTACAAGTCAGCTGACAGTACTTGACCAATTTCATGAGACAGATCACGTGTAGGTGATATCTCGAAGAAAGGGTCTACTTTGAGAATCAGTAACAATAACTTTATGCACACCAGCTGTGTTATAGGCTGTGCATTTGAGCACCTCCCCTACTATTTTATGAGGCATATAATGTTATGGTCATTTTACATGAAAAGTTGAAGGACAGAGAGGCACAATAGTTTGCCCAAACTTGGACAAGCAGTGATGAAATCAGGTCTGAAAAAAAGCAATTCTTCACAAATTACATATCTAACCATGGCAGTCTAAAAAAAGTAACAAGACCCCAACATTCCAGTGGTCTAACAGAATAGGTTGGTGTCTGTCTAAATTATAAAATCTCTACACATGATTTT